ATATAATTTTGTTTGATTTTGATTTCATATAATTTTGTTTCACTTTGATTTCATATAATTTTGTCTCACTTTGATTTCATACATCGTATATTTTGTTTTAAAATAATTTTGTTACATTTTGTTTTCAAATAATTTTGTGTTTCATTATTATTTCATATTATATTCTTTCACTTCGATTTCACATAATTTTTTAAGCAGTTTCGATGTCTTAAATTTCACCTACACATTTTTATTGTAAATCCATAAAATCCGCGGTCTAGTAATTACACTGTGGTTCTTCAGTCGGAGTAGTCGTTTTTCTAGATCCATTACGATAAGCCACGATTTGAAGAGAAATTGCTTATCTCTCTTTTTCCTTTTTCTTTTATTTATTTATTCAGGAAATCTCGGAAGAGATTCGTATACACAGACGTGCGCACGTGTTGGTCATTCCAAAAATTTTTGGAACACGATTTCGAGATAAGATACCGACACTCCCCCAAAAAATAGCTTCTCACAAGCTTTTACAATTTTCGATAAATCAAAGTTTCGTGGACCCAGGGTTATTTTTGACCCAGTATTTCGGGGGTATTTGTGAGAGTAGTTTTTCGCATAGTTTTTCGCATAGTATTTCGCATAGAACTGCTTATTTTTTCCTGTTCGAAATTTTCACGAAACCGATCGGTTTCTTTCTAACGACAGACAGGGTCGAAATTGACCCAGTTATTTTTCCATCAATATATGCACAGAACTGCTTATTTTCATTGTGGAATGTCCAGCTGGATCAAAATCGACCCGTGCGCAATAGAACCTCGATTATCCGGTCCGAGTCTAGAAAACGCGAACGTTCGAACAAATGAAACATTTACAGAATATAAATCATATCGTATTAAAACGTTTGGTGAAGCGTATTTAAGAACAGAACGTTCAGGAAACGCAGTCAGCGATTATTAAACAGTGCGCCGCGCTGTTTTCGCATGCCACTTGCGCTAAACTCGCCTAACAGATTCATGCGAATTGATATCGATCATCCTCTTTCACCCTCCCTTCCCGTCCTCTCTCGTTCGTTCATGGTTTCAACTTTGCGATAGCTGGCGTGAATGACCTTGAAATGGTGGCTGGGTCTATTCCGACCCTGGAGCGACAATATCCAGGTCCATTTTGAGGAGGATTGTCCATTTTGAATCCGAGGTTGTGGCACAGTAGAATTTCGCGATATCACGTTCGCATAATTTAAAATTTAAACAGACCGATCTAATGCGATCTAAATACATTGCTATTTAGTGAACAAGTCGATACAGATTTAATTTGACGACTTAACTAATGTTTAGTGAATTTTTCGTTGTTCGAATGTTAAGGTTATTATCTCTCTTATTATCTATTAATTTGTTATTCTCTAATACGTAATTTTAGTTCGTGATCTTGATTCAATTACATCGTAATTAGTAATTTTAATTCAATTTTATCGTATTTCGTAATTTCAATGCAATTACATCGTACTTCATAGTTAATGTAATTTAATTAATTACAATTCGTATTTCGTAATTTCACTCCAATTGCAAATAGGAATTACATTGTAATTTAATTGAATGGAGATTTGGCTTACAAATGACACCACTTGTAATTAGGAATTACATCGTAATTTAATTGGATGGAGATCAGTATTATGCATTACTCGAATTGCAATTAAGAATTATATTGTAATTTAATTGAATAGAGATCAGCATTTCGAATTATGTACTCCAATTGCAATTACGAATTACATTGCAATTGAATTGAATGGAAATATCTGACTTACGAATTACATTGCAATTGAATTGAATGGAAATCTGACTTACGAATTACATTGCAATTGAATTGAATGGAAATCTGACTTACGAATTACATTGCAATTGAATTGAATGGAAATCTGACTTACGAATTACATTGCAATTGAATTGAATGGAAATCTGACTTACGAATTACATTGCAATTGAATTGAATGGAAATCTGACTTACGAATTACATTTACAAATTACATTTACACATACAAATTACATACATATTCTAATTGAATGGAGATTTGAATTACAAATTACATTATAATTTAATTGATTAGAGATCTGAATTACGAATTACTCCAATATAACAGTTATGAATTACATAGTAATTTAATCGAGCGGAGATCAGAATTACGAATTACTCCAATAACAGTTATGAATTACATAGTAATTTAATCGAACGGAGATCAGAATTACGAATTATTCCAATTACCAGTTACGAATTACATTGCAATTTAATCGAATGGAGATCAGCATTACGAATTACTCCAATAGCAATTACGAATTATATTGCATACTTAATTCAATGGAGATTTGAATTACGAATTAATCCAATAGCAATTATGAGTTACATTGTAATTTAATCAAGCGGAAATCGGAATTACGAATTACACCAATTGCATTTACGAATTACATTGCAATCTAATCGATGCGAGATCCGTATTAGGAATTACAATGGATTACGAATTACAATGCGATCACAATATAATTGAATGGAAGTCTGAATTACGAATTACAATGCGATCGAATTACAATATAATCGAATTACTCTGAAATTATAATTTCTCGAACAATTCAATTGTAATTCCGCACAACGCTGGCTACGGTGATGCACAGTGAACCGACAAGCAATAACTTAATCGATTCTCGTCGTTGTCTTTGGCCGAGCATGGTCGCGGATGCGTTATGGTTGGATTCGACATCGAGAGAGGCGTAGAATTGGTGCGTTCCGTGCGGATTGCGGATCGATAAACCCACGGAAGAAGTAGAACGCGGCTGTGAACTGCGACGGCGACTGCGGGAGCGAACGAGCGAACGAACGAGCGAACGAACGAACGATTCGGGATGAAAGAGCTTTTTAAAAGAGGGGGAGGGTCTGACATCCATAAGCAGGAAAACAAGTTCCGCTGGCACGCCGCGCGCTGTGTGCGCGCGCTACGTCACTTCCGGTTCCCTCGCTTCCGCCCTAAGCGCCGCTTTTTTCCCCCGTATCGTGTGTCTCCGTCACGATTTTTTTTCTCCTTTTTCTTTTATTTCGTCAACTTTTCCCGTTTTCGAATTTTCTCCGTTTTCGCAGCAATGCAATTTCTTTTTCTTTCCATCGATTCCAATTTATTTTCGAACGTGCGGTGTCCAATAAATATTTCTCTTCGGCCGATTGAAAGATGGCGAAACGGGAAATCTTGTTAAAACGGAGTGCGAAGTTTATGCGTTTTGCGGTGAAAATTAATCGATTGTATGGAATAGAGGAGAAACGTTCGAAGAATTTAATATTGTTTTAAATAAGAAACATATGTTTTCGTTGCTGCCGCAATTTTGCAATTGGTCCAGATACAGGTAATTTTTCCTTTGCAATTGGTCTGGACAATTTTTAACCTGCCATCGATACAGACATTTTTTACTTTGCAATTGAAGCAGACGAGTTTTTACTTTGTAAATTGACACGGGTGATTCTTAATTTGCAATTGATACGGACAATTTTTGTTTTTCAATTAATGCTCGTATTTTTTACTTTCTTGATCGATACTGATAATTTTTACTTTACAGTTGATCTGGACAATTTTTAATATGCAATCGTTGTAGACAATTTTTAGTTTGTAATTAATGCAGGCAACTTTTATTTTCTAATAAATGCAGGCAGTTCTTATTCTTCAGGAAATGCAGACAATTTTTATTTTTTAATAAATGTAAACAGTTTTTATTCTCTAATAAATACGGATGATTCTTATCTTTTAATAAATGCAGACAGTTTTTATCCTTCAGGAAATGCGGACAATTTTTATTTTCTGATAAATGCAGACAGTTTTTATTCTTCAGGAAATGCGGACAATTTTTATTTTCTAATAAATGTAAACAGTTTTTATTCTCTAATCAGTACGGACGATTCTTATTTTTTAATAAATGCAGATAGTTTTTATTCTTCAGGAAATGCAGACAATTTTTATTTTCTAATAAATGTAAACAGTTTTTATTCTCTAATAAATACGGACGATTCTTATTTTTTAATAAATGCAGACAGTTTTTATCCTTCAGGAAATGCGGACAATTTTTATTTTCTGATAAATGCAGACAGTTTTTATTCTTCAGGAAATGCGGACAATTTTTATTTTCTAATAAATGTAAACAGTTTTTATTCTCTAATCAGTACGGACGATTCTTATTTTTTAATAAATGCAGATAGTTTTTATTCTTCAGGAAATGCAGACAATTTTTATTTTCTAATAAATGTAAACAGTTTTTATTCTCTAATAAATACGGACGATTCTTATTTTTTAATAAATGCAGACAGTTTTTATCCTTCAGGAAATGCGGACAATTTTTATTTTCTAATAAATGCAGACAGTTTTTATTCTCCAGGAAATGCGGACAATTTTTATTTTCTAACAAGTGCAGACAATTTCTGCTTTGCAATTAATTCAGACAATTTTTTTCTTCTAATAAACGCAGACGATTTCTATTGTGCTTTTTATTCAAACAATTTTTACTTTCCAATTAACGCCGATAAAATTGAACTTGCAATTCATACACACAATTTTCATTATGCATAAATATCCGCGGTCTGGTAATTAATCTTTAGACGATGAATCTTTATTTAAATATAAATTTTTACGACCTGGTTTACGGAGAATATAATATAGTGCAGATGAAAAGAGATTTGAAAAGAGATGAAAATTGAATTGGCCTTTTCATAGACCTAATTTTCTGCGTCAGAAAATTAGCGCACAGTCTTGTAAGCATTTTATGCTGAGAAAAGTGTACAGTGCCTGCCAAAAATCTTTACTTAACATATAACAATAATTAGCAATGAACAGAAATTGCAAAATATTTTTGTTATACGAAATTGCACTCATAAATTCATACTTTCGCGAAGCATTAAAAATAATTATTAACTATTAATAATTAAGCATAATTGTTGCCGATCTAACAGAGGATGTACGACATGTTTAATTTACTAATTGCTCTCTTGTTTATAATTCTCAGGTGCCGGTGAGTCCGGGAAAAGTACCATCGTTAAACAAATGAAGTAAGTAACAATCCCAATAATTTTAATAAGTGTAATATTTAATATAGTGTATAATTATATAATAAAAATATATAACAAATTTATACATAAAAAATAATTATATAATATAATAATTATTGCCAGTCGAGGCGCGATTCTATAATCTTAAATGAGATCTCATTGAAATATAATTCTTCGAAGCTCGTTTGAAGCGACGCAGATCGTTTAAAATAAACGTCCGAAACGCGGCGGGAACAATTGGATCCGAAAATTATTGAAATGCATCATAATCAGCCTTGACGTTATTTCCGTCGATAATTGCACAATGCTCGTCGTTGTACGCGCCGCGTAGGGCTTCCATAAAAAAATATTTTTAGCATTCCTTCTCCGGCGGGAAGCGTTTGAAATGTCCCGCGCCGCACTGTGTTTGCCGCTGTATTGTTTTATAAAATTACGGTTAAAAATAAATGCGGATGCGACGCGATCGCGCGCGCCTCTTAACTTCATTAAGGGAACGCCGGGATCGGTCAGTCACCCCAAAAAATCGATATTTTCCGCGTTGAAAGAACAGTTGCCGGTAAAACGTGTTTCGAATCTTGTTTTCTCGTCAATGGCTTCATTCATGGCGTCCCGTGAACAAAACACCGCGCGCGAAGCCGTTGCCCAAGACTTCCGGAACGTTAATTGATTATATTCCCTGCTCTCGCAGCTTCCATTGTCCATTTACACCGAAATCACGGACGCGTTGACACGATTTCAACCGTCTGTTTTACGATTAAAGCTGACAAATCTCGTAATTCGGCGAAAATTCTTTGCTAAGACGGCGAAACATCGATTAAATGAGTTTTATCGTCTCCATGTTGAATTAGCGGTTTGTCCGAAAATTTCAAAACATTTCGATGTCTGAGAAGCAACTTCTTGTTGTGGTCTCGATCTTTGAGATTATTATTTATTATTTAATGAATTACAACTTTTTCACGGTATAAAAATGCTATATTTTATATTTATGTAATTATTAATTTATATTATAATTTTATATTTATATATGAAATTTTAGGAGCTGGTTTGAGATTTTAGAATGTTGTATAAATGATAACCATAACCGATCGATTTCTTTTTATTTTTGCGAAACGATCGACAAAAATCGACTTTATCGCGAAATAAAATTTGGAACCGATAAATTACGGTCAAAATATTCCACAAATCGGCTTAAAATTTAATATACTAATCTTAGAATGTTATTCTAACTGTCCGTTACCTAAATAACAATCTCGACCGATCAATTTTTGTTATTTTTGCAAAACGATCAACAAAAATCGACTTCATTGCGAAATAAAATTTGGAACCGATAAATGACGGTCAAAATATTCCACAAATCGGCTTAAAATTTTATATACTAATCTTAGAATGTTATTCTAACTGTCCGTTACCTAAATAACAATCTCGACCGATCAATTTTTGTTATTTGTGCAAAACGATCAACAAAAATCGACTTCATTGCGAAATAAAATTTGGAACCGATAAATTACGGTCAAAATATTCCACAAATCGGCTTAAAATTTAATATACTAATCTTAGAATGTTATTCTAACTGTCCGTTACCTAAATAACAATCTCGACCGATCAATTTTTGTTATTTTTGCAAAACGATCAACAAAAATCGACTTCATTGCGAAATAAAATTTGGAACCGATAAATTGCGGTCGAAAGGTTCCATGAACCGGTTTAAATTTTAGTATACTAATCTTAGAATGTTGCACAAACTGTGCGTTACCCAGATAACAACCGCGACCGATCAGTTTCGCTATTTTCGCGAGCCGGTCAATGAAAATCGCGTTTATTGCAAAATCGAAATTGCAATCGATAAATTCTAGGCGAAAACCGCTTTGGTGTTCGCAATTTGATACAGTATCGTTAGGCTGTAGGTAATGCTTGTGCTGTTGTGTTGCCTGGAAAAACTAACGAACGATCGTTCCATTTTTTTCTATTTTTACAGAATTATCCATGAAAGCGGTTTTACACCGGAAGACTTCAAGCAGTACAGGCCCGTGGTGTACAGCAACACGATACAATCCCTAGTCGCCATTATCAGAGCGATGCCCAATTTGAAGATCAACTACGCGTCCAACGAGCGGGAGGTGAGTCGAATTTGATTCTTTTCTTTTTCGTTTTTATTCGACTTTCTTTTCCGTCGAAAATAATTATTGTATCGAGAAGAGATTTTTGGGGCTCGAGTTCTCTCGGTGAATAATTTCTACAGTTTCGACAATAATTGTATGGAAAAATTGTGGGATATTGTTTGAATCTGTGCAAAAGTATTTTAATAATTTTATTATTATTATTACACATATATTTATATATTTATTATTAATTTATTGTATATTATTATATATTATATATTATATATTACATATATGTATTATTATATAATTTATTTTTATATCTTTATTATATATTTATTATTAGACAGACGTCGTATATATTTTGTTAGATTAAAAATAGTATTTTTATTAAATGTGTGTTTTAGGACTTGAAATGCACTTTTCACTTTTTACTTTCTTATAAATAAACTGACACAATTCTAACAATCTCGAAGAGTAAAAATTCGTGGATATTGTCTGAATTGTTTAAACGAGTCCACAAAGTTTTATAAAAGTATATTGCATCGTTTCTTGAATAAAAATTCGTAGGTTTCTTAAAATGTATTATTTGCTTCCTCGGGGAATAACTTTCACAATTATGACAATGTTGATATGTTAAAATTCATGAATATTGTCTGAAGCTGTCTAAATAAGTCTGCAAAGTTTCGTAAGAATATATTGTATAGTTTATTAAATAGAAATTACGAGGCTTCCTAATAAGAGTGTTGAAAAGAGAATCATCTGTTTCCTCGCCGAACTATTATTATAGTTTTAATAATAATAGCGTGTAAAAGTACGTAAAAACAGTGGAAAATCGTATAAACAATCCTGCAAAGTTTCGTAAAAATACGTCACTCAGTTTGAACCAAAAAGATTCATTTAACTAATATCAACCCTTAATTATCAATTCTGAAACAGATCTCCAGAAATAATTTATTTCCCAAAAATTCTCATTCGATATCAATCTGAAAAAATTCACCAATGTGCTCAGAATATAATAAATAAATGTGTAAAGTTTCACAAATTTATATTACTTAATTTGCACTACAAAAATTCGCAAAATCTAGCTTTAGAGAGAGAGCTATGAAACCATCCCTAATAACACTCGCCAGCTATGTTGTCTGCGGGTTGCTTACCATTTCTACTCACTGTAATCGAATGCAAATTGGAAGTGCTGTAATTGAAAAATTTCATTCCGACTGTCCCATTAAATTCCACCATTGTTCCTACCCAGTTTCATGAAACCGTTCTAAAAAGTGAATCTTCTTTCTCTTCTTTTGAAACAATTTCCCTTTATTTCTAACATCAATCATTTATTTATTAAATAGCCAGTAAACGAAATTAAAAGTTTCTTGAATATCCAGCAAAAACAAGATTCAAAGTCTTCATATATGGCCAACAAATAAAATTGCAAAATTTTTAGACTTAAACTTGACAAAATTTTAAATATACAATGAGCAATATTGAAAAATGTTTAAATATACAATGAACAAAATTGGAAAGTCTTTCAGTATACAATGAACAAAATTTCTTCTTAAAATACCGTGTTACATCAATAAGATTGAAAATTAATTGCGTATTCAATAAACAGTATGAAAACACTCCTACATACCCAACGAACGAAATTAATAGATCAAATTGTAACGATCTCAAATGTCTATTAAATAAAGTTGGTCGTCGGTGTCAAACGCGATTCGAGGTAACGAAATTAAAAATTCCACGGACAATGGAGCGCGATACATTTGAGGACGCTCGAACTTATCCGGGACAACCGCGCGTTTCGAACTTGAAACTTTCCTCCCCGGCGAACGCGCAGCCCCTTGACACGGTTTGCGAGGCTGGAAAAAAAGGGACGCGGAGATTTTTCTCTGAAACGTCGCGGGTCCGCCGACGCTAGAGAGGGAGAGAGAGAGGAAGGAAAGAGAAAGAAAAGGGAAGGAGAGAGACGGAAAGAGAGAGTGATGGGAAGAGGGGGAGAGAGATCGAGAGAGAGGGAGGGAGAAATGGAGACAGAGGGGAAGATAATAAGAAAAACAGAGAGAGAGGGAGGGAGGGAGCGAGAGAGAAAGAGAGAGAGGGAGAGAAACGGATAGAGGGAGCGCGCGAGAGAGGGAGAGAAACGGATAGAGAGAGCGCGCGCGAGAGAGAAACGGAGAGAGAGAGTGCGCGAGAAAGGGAGAGAAATGGAGAGAGAGAGTGCGAGAGGGGGGGGGAGAGAAAAAGGACAGGTTTGTGTCAAAAATTATCGACGGACCAAGGCACTCGAACGAGATCGATGCGCATCTCGAGACGGTTCTGGAGCACCCTCTTCAGCATATTTACCGGTCGTGCAGCGTCGCGGCGGCTGCGTCGTTTACCTTAGTGCCAATAACGAGAGCACCTGCCTCGAAAACAACGAGCACGAGGGTTTGCCTCGAGTGCCGATTGATCCGGGCTTTTCAGAGCAGCGCCTCTCAATCCGTCGCGCCCCCCCAACACGCTAATATTTCTCCCATTAGCGGAAACATCCGTAGTTAGCCGATCCCCCCTCCCCCTCCACTATCCCCTCTTTACCACGACTTCCGCTTCTTGAGACCGATTGGAAATTATGTATACCGCGAACAACTGGTCTTTGCAGCGTACAAATTGCCAGAAAGTTGCGCACCTTGACGAGACGGTGTCTAGTTCTCTCTGATTGACGCTTAGGTTGTACACAAAAGTGGACAATTTGGGAAGAGAAGATACGATTATTCGAATCTTGCGGCTAGTTTTTGTAGTTGTTGACAATCGGTAACTATAAAAGTGAGCCGCATGGTTATTTCATAATCGTATGTCCTCTTGCCAAATTGTTCATTTTTGTGTACAAATTTGAGCGTCAATTAGCGAGAATTCACTGTAGTTAACTGAAATTTTATATATATAATATTATATTATTATATAACATATATATATATATATATATATATATATATATATATATATATATATATATATATATATATATATAT